CAGCTAGCTGCCGCCGCGACCCCGCGACCCCTCAGGCGGAGCCCGGAGCGCTGCGCTCGCCGCCGGCGGCGATCCGCAGCCCCGGCGCCCCCGGATCTCCCAGCCGCGCCACCTCCTTCCTCCTGCGCCCGTGGATGCGGAGCGGATCCCGGGCCTGAAGCGAGGGGAGCAGTCTTGGGGCACGCCTCACCCGGCCCCGCAGCCGGTCCCCGAGCACGCGGCTCCGGAGTTCCAGCACAGGTAAGCGCAGACCCAGGGCTGGGCTTCCGGGAGGCAGGCGGCGCCCGGAGGTGGGAAGGGGCTGCAGTCTCCTAGCGCTGCATGGAAAAAAGGAAGTAAACAGAAGGAAGATGCAGGAATCCCCAGGACGGCCACGGCTTCTTCCTGCATCGTTTTATTTTCAGCTGTAGGGATTGGGCCTGAAGGGAATTTAGGTTAGGAAGTCAGGGACCGAGAGATGGCACAGAGATGGGGATGCAATGATGGAGAGATGGCTAGGCCCCTCCAGAATCCAGAGACAGGAAACCGGGTGTCTGGCGTGGACAGGACTATGTGGGGGTGCCGGGGAAGGCCCTGGGGTTGCAGGCTTATGTAGCCAGGATCTTGTGTGAGGGGTGGGGTGGATCAGGGGGAAGGAGAGGCGCTCCTACTTAGTCATGTCCTTCTAACCTGCAGATGATCGGTGCCACCTGTGCCCTGGAAACCCACTCAGCACCCCTGCCCCAGCATCCTGCCCTTCAGCCACAGCCAAGAAGAGGCTCGCAGCCTCCCCCAGGTCTCATAAAGCTCTGGTAAGTGGCTGACACCGAGTCCATCGTCTGAGCCCATTTCTCCAGGACTAGTAGAGGCAGCCATCAGTCAAGATGCCGAGGAACCAGGGCTTCTCAGATCCCGAGTACTCGGCAGAGTACTCAGCCGAGTACTCCGTCAGCCTCCCCTCAGACCCTGACCGCGGGGTTGGCCGGACCCATGAAATCTCCGTGCGGAACTCGGGATCCTGCCTGTGCCTGCCGCGCTTCATGCGGCTGACCTTCGTGCCAGAGTCCTTAGAGAACCTCTACCAGACCTACTTCAAGAGGCAGCGCCATGAGACGCTGCTGGTCTTGGTGGTCTTCGCAGCCCTCTTCGACTGCTACGTGGTGGTCATGTGCGCTGTGGTCTTCTCCAGCGACAAGCTAGCTCCCCTCGTCGTGGCTGGGATCGGGCTGGTGTTGGACATCATCCTCTTTGTGCTCTGCAAAAAGGGGCTCCTCCCGGACCGCGTGAGCCGGAAGGTGGTACCCTACCTGCTGTGGCTGCTCATCACAGCTCAGATCTTCTCCTACCTGGGCCTGAACTTCTCCCGTGCCCATGCAGCCAGCGACACTGTGGGCTGGCAGACCTTCTTTGTCTTTTCTTTCTTTATCACGTTGCCCCTCAGCCTCAGCCCCATCGTGATCATCTCTGTGGTCTCCTGTGTTGTGCACACGCTGGTCTTGGGGGTCACCGTGGCTCAGCAGCAGCAGGAGGAGCTTCAAGGGATGCAGCTGCTGAGGGAGGTGAGTCCTACCCTCCTCCCCATCCACACTGCTGCCTTCCCCTCCCATCAGGTGTTTCCCAGATGGGGCCTCTTTTGTGCTGGTTTTCTTTGCCTTGAGTCAAATGTGTCCTGAGGGGCCTTAGGGTCTCAGTTGCCAGTGTAAGAAGGACCACCTCTCTCTCTCAGCCCTTGGTTGTGTACCTGCATGGGATCTGGTGCTCGACTAGAGGGAAAGAAGGATGTCAGGACATTGGGCCTCAGGGCCACTCTGCCACCTGTGCCTAGTGAGTGAATGACAGACCCTTGGGAGCCTGATCTGAAGCTAGTATTGTCCTTCCAGACATTCCAACAGTGACCCTGGTTAAGAGACTTCTTGTGGCAAATTCTGATCTCTAGCTGTGGCTGCCTAGCTCAAGCATGCAGTTTGACTTGTGTGGGCTCAGTGCTCTTCTGTCAAATGAGGCACTGTCTCCCCTGCTTGCAGAAATGACTGTTATGAGGATCCAAGGGAATGTGGGTGAAAGCTTATTAGGATAGGTGGAGAGAAGGAAGGAGGGAAAATGTGTTCATGCATGGTGCTTCTGCCCCAGAACTCTGTGTCACCAACAGTTAGAGGTTGTGGGAAGGGGTGCTCTGCCCATAGAAGAGATGGTATGGGAGCACAGATAGGAGCAGTGTTGCTAACCACTGTGGTGTAGAGTGTGCTAGTGCTGGTGGACTACTTCTGCTGGAAAGGGTGGCATATTTGGCCTCAGCTTCACCAATATGTGCTCCTACTAAGCACTAAGAGAGACTACCAGGCACCCATAGTCTGCAAAAACTGGGCTGTAATTCTGGCCTGAGTTTATCTGGCTCCATGGAGATTGGAGTTGATGGATTCCATAATCTTATACCTTGCCTTTGACTTCTTCATATGTGACCTGAGAGCTGGAGTGCAACCTGCCCCAGGCCCCATGGCCAGTTATGGCCATCATATGGCTGAAGTACCCATGTGCTTCTTCCTCCTGCATCCCATTGCTTCTGGGTTTTTTTTGTTTTTGTTTTTGTTTTTGTTTTTCTTTTTGAGACAGGGTCTCCCTGAAGCCTCAGCTGGCCTGGAATTCACTATATAGACCAGGTTGGCCTCTATCTCACAGAGCTCCACCTGCTTCTGCCTCCCCAGTACTGGGATAAAAGGTGTGTACCACCACACCCAGCGTCCCAATTTTAAACTGGAGGGCATAAGATTATAAAGTAAATTGAACACCACTGTTTGGATATCACAGAGAATATCACAAGGTCCAATATGACCTAAGAGAAACCTTTAGAACCAGACCCAGGCTCTTCACAATGGGATCCTCTCAAATGATTGAAGGCTAGAGGCATAGTGAGTATGCTGCAGTGGACAGGAACTGCCTTAGATTCACACTCAGGGAGGTTACCAAATCTCATTAGCTCAGACCTGTGAACTACTTGCTTTAAATCAGGCTTTGAAATATCTTAAAGGCCAAGAAGGGATCATATTTACAGATTCCAAATATGCCTTTGGCATAGCACACAACTTTAGTAAGATCTGGGCTTCACACTTGCTTTGGACAGTCTCACTTGTAGCCCTGGCTGACCTGGAACTTGCTATAGCAGTACTACAGTTCCAGCTGGCCTGTAGACCAGGCTGGCCTTGAACTCACAGAGATCCACCTGCCTCTGCCTCCCAGTGCTGGGATTAAAGGTGTGTGCCACAAAGCCCCACTGCTTCTGTCTTACAGAAGTCTTTGTCACTGTATATGTGGGATGGGGACAGAGCCCACAGGGACCCCATGGCAGCTTTGGTGGCTGATGCAAGAACTCTGTAGGGCTGTCCCATTGTCTGCTGCTTGGTTAAAGGAGAACATGGCTTCTGCTAAGCTTTAACTTTTCCTAGGTTCTTCCTGTTTATTCATTCTGGGTCAGGCAGGTCAGGCTTCTATTTCACAGAAGTTTCTGGGGTTTTTTGTTTGTTTGTTCGTTTGGCTTTTTGTTTCCTTTTGAGAGAAAGTTTCATGTAGCCCTGACTGGTCTTAATGTAGCTGAGGATGACCTTGAACTCCTGATCCTTCTGCCTCTACCTCCCAAGTGCTAGGTTACAGATGTGGACCACCATATCCAGCTAATTTCATGAAAGTATTCTGAGTGGCCCAGCCCAGAGCTAGAGCCTGTGGGTTTTTGTGGGCATACGACCATGTCTTGTTTTTCTCTTGGTGCTGGCCGCTTTTTTTGTGAACACATTCTACTGCTGTCCCAGCTTCCAGAGTCAAAGGCTTTAGCTTGTGCCTGTTTGTGGACAGCTCTGTTGGGGAAGAATTGCCAAAGTTATGCTACTGGGAATTGGTTAGGAGGTGGGCCTGGCAGTGTTTGGGGTTTGGGCTCAAATCTGAAACATTACCTTCTGGGTAAACAAGCGCTTCTTGTGATTTTCCTCCTTCCAGGGTCCCTGGGGCTCAGGTGTTTCCCCCAATGTATTGTCCATCGAGGGAGCAGAACAGAACCCCTCCCCAGGTCCCTCCTCTGACCACATCTGGACCTGCTTGTTGGCCGGAGACTCTTGGGGGTATAGAAAGAACATCTTGTAGTGAAACTGAACAGTCATACCCTAAGCCATTCCAGATCTGTTCCAAGTGCTGACATAGGGGCACAGAAGGGCCCTATCATGACAGAGATTCTGGGTTCAGTGGGGAGCAGACCTGAGGAAGAGTAGACAGTGTGAGTCCCCAGAGGGCCAGCAAACCAGTGATCAGAGGAGGATCTGGTACGCTCTGGTGTGATACAGCTTTGTCCTGACCTGCGGTCCAGGAAGGTTTCCCTTAGGTTCTTTGGTAGGTAGAGAGGACCTGATTCCTGTTTCAGTTCAGTTCATTGTGGTGGAAGGTGGGACTGGAGTGGTGGTAGCTTGAAGAGGTGACTAGCTGGGTGCCAGGAAAGGAAGGATGTGCCTGGGATTCTTCAGACTGAAGCCGCTGACACGCTGTGGAAACAGTTGCTGAGCGGTATCAGGGTGAATGGGATCTTTCACTTCTCTGCCAGTTTCTCTGCTCATGCCTTCTGATTTGTTCTAGAAAGAGTTGGAGGGTGCTAGAACAGGTGGGAGCTGGGGAGAGCATCTAGTTCAAAGCCCCCATGTTACAGAGGAGGAAACAGACATAAGCAGTTTCTACTTGTTGGCAGCAGAAAGTCAAGGGCCCAGGTGAGCTGACCCCTAGTCCAGGGTTCCCACACCGCTGGGTGTTTGTCTCCTTAGACAGAGAGATGCTTGAGAGCAGGGGCCTGGATTCGCCTCTCCGTGTACTGGGGACAAGTATGGACTTCCTGTCTGTATCCCCACCTGGATCTCAGAAGGCACAGCTTGCTGGGTCCCTGGGTCTCTCTTCACAAGTAGATGGAAACACTGGTCATTTCACTTTGTGCCCTGACTTAGCTTGTCCAGGCCCCTTGCTCTGATGACGCCCATGCCATTCTAGGCCCCATTCACTCAGGTCAGCTAGAACTTGGAGGTTCCTGGAGCTTCTAGGGAAAAGGACTGTGGGCTTGGATCCAGGCCTCCTGTGGCCACAGGGCGGGCCAGCATCTAGGTTCCTGCAGATTGATTATGGACTCAAGATTACTGATCTTTTTTTTTAAAAAATTATTTTTTATTTTATATGTACGAATGTATTGTTTGCATTTGTATAAGTGCACCCGTGTTGTGCAGTGCCCTCAGAAGTCAGAAGAGGGAGTCGGATCCCCTGGAACTGGAATTGTAGACAGTTGTTAGCTGCCATGTAGGTGCTGGAAATCGAACGTGGGTCCTCTGCAAGATCAGCCAGTGCTCTTAACCACTGAGCCATCTCTCCAGCCTCAAGATTGCTGATCTTAAAGGAGCCCAGCCTGCAAAGAAATGAAACCCCCAAATTTAAGAAACAAAGACTTAAAAATAAATAAGTTACGAATTAGCTGGGTGTTGTGGCACATGCCTTTAATCCTAGCACTCCCAAAGCAGAGGCAGGTGGATCTCTGTGAATTTGAGGTCAGCCTGGTCTACATAGATAGTTCCAGGCCAGCTGGGGCTAGGGGAGTATAGCTCAATGGTAGAGTGCTTGCCTAGCATGTACAAGACTCTCTGGATTTGATTTCTAGCAAATAGAAAGAGAGAGAGAGAGAGAGAGAGAGAGAGAGAGAGAGAGAGAGAAGAATATGTATTTATAGAGAGAAAGAAAATATGTATTTATTTATTATTTTTTAAATATTTTTATTTATTATTTTTATGTGTATATATGTATTGCCCGCATGTAGGTAAGTGCACCCGTGTCATGCAATGCCCGCAGAGGACAGAAGAGGCTGTTGGATCCCCTGGAACTGGAGTTACGGACAGTTGTTAGCTGGCATGTGGGTGCTGGGATTCAAACCCGGGTCTTCTGCAAGAACATTCAGTGTTAATGGCTGAGCCATCTTTCCAGCCCCTAAAATATGTATTGATAAAATTAAAAAAATACTAGCATCTCAGGGTAGCATGACTTTGTCTTTAAATAGTGCCTGGAACTTGGCTTTGGGAATAGAAGAAGGAAAGAGAGACTCTTAAGGTTAAGTTAGGAGCCTGAGATAGTAGGCTGGAGGCCCAGCTTACCATGGGCTGTGTTCCCGAAGTCTCTGAGTCACTTGTTTGGGACCAATGTAACTTTTTCAAGGATACCTAGGTTCCTAGGCCTATCCTTCACCACAGTTTCCCTGCATTCCATATCTGAGGACTGTGGAAACCAAGCTCAGGGCCCAGGGTTGCTGGGGAGAGCCGCCTAGGAGCCATCTTTCCCTCTAGATGTGGAGGGAGGCATCATCCTCCTGTCCTGCTGCTCCTCCAGCCTGCACTGCCACTGGGGTGGGGTAGGGGTCTCTCGAGGATGAGAGGGGCAGAGGTGTGAGAGCTAGGTGGCCAGGCCCCTGTCAGACCCCACTTAGGCCCACCTTCTGCTCCTCTTGCCATGTGCTCTCCCTGCTCTTTCTTCCCCTTTCTTCCCTGCTGGCTTTGGCCGG